GTAGTCGGGGGAACTGTCCCGAATCAGCTTTAGAGTCGTCAGAGAGGGAACGACGCGGATCCTGAAAGTATCTACTAAATATGTTCCTCCTTCATCACTGATGGCTGCAAATGGGACTTGGTACATACAGGATTCAGGGACAATTAAAATCTCGGGCTCCTTCAGTAAACTGGCCACGGGAGCGATGATTATCTCGTAACACGACCGAAGATTCGTTTTGAAATCTTTTGGATCATAATCACGCAGGAGCCCGTGATTGTCATCGGCATAGTGAGGTGGCATCGATTCGGTGTCATCTAATGATCGATCTTCACAATTCCGTTGGGGTAAAATGCCAAGGCTGCGAAAGCTTTCTGTGAAAAACTCATCCAAATTAGGAACTAATTTGGTCACCACGCGTTGCTCCAGACTCACTTTCTTTCGTGAGAAATGAATGGCTCCTGATGCTTTGAGAATCCAGTACCGTGCATGTTCTTTTCCAATTGAAATGTAAAGACATGTACAGTCTGTTTCTTTTGTGATGATATTGTGAATGCCATGCCATGACTGTGGATTGCCTGAGATCAGCTCTTCTACAGAGTACTTGGCTGCCATGAAGTCGGCGAGGCCTCTTGCCCGTCTCAGCTCTTCAACATAAAGAGCATCTCTTGGCTTCCCGGTAGAAGAAAGCAAGTTGCTGAGCAACTTATAAGGAAAATTGCCGTACTTCTCTAAAAGAGAAGTCTTAAACTGATCGTTATCTTTAAGGAAACCTCGCAACGTGTCGAATTTCCCAATACACTGAAAAAGATACGACATGGCTTCCTTGAGATTAAATTGTGATAGTTTCAACACCGTAAGGTGACGAAGGCACCCATATTCGTTCAAGTTGTGTTCAATATTCTTGCTTATTAATAGGGCCCTGTTGATGTATTTTTCGGCCACATTATATCTGCCAAGCGATTGGAAACATTTCCCTAAATTTGTGTACTCGACTGCTTCTCCATTTCTGTCGCCAATTTCCTCATAGATTGCAAGGGCTTTCTTGTGATATTCTTGAGCTTTTTCATAATCATGAAGATGATGAGAAATTATCCCAAAATGACCATAAACATCTGCTTCTCCATTTTTATCGCCAATTTCCTTCATTATTGCCAATGAGTGCTCTAGATATTTATCTGCCTTAGGGTATTTTCCGAGTGACAGAAACAAAGCTCCAAGGTTTGCATAACAACTTGCTTCTCCATTTCTGTTGCAGAGTTCCTTTCTAATACGTAGAGCTTTCTCGAGATATTCTTGAGCCTTGTCATGTTCACCGAGTATTGCAAACAGTCCCCCTAAGTTTTCGTAATCCGTTGCTTCTCCTTTTCTGTCACCAATTTCCCTTCTGATGGCCAGTGCTTTCTCGTGATATTCTTGCGCCTGGTTATAATAACCAAGTGATTGGAACACTGTTCCTAGGTTTCCGTAATCCGCTGCTTCTCCTTCTCTGTCACCAATTTCCAGTGTGATAGCTAGTGCTTTCTCGTAATATTCTTGCGCCTGGCCATAATTACCAAGCGATCGAAACACTGTTCCTAGATTTCCATAATCCACTGCTTCTCCTGCTCTGTCACCAATTTCCATTCTGATGGCCAGTGCTTTCTCGTAATATTCCTGTGCCTGCTTATAGTTACCAAGCGATTGGAACACTGATCCAAGGCATCCATAATCTGCTGCTTCTCCTCTTCTGTCACTAATTTCCATTGTGATGGCCAGTGCTTTCTTGTAATATTCTTGTGCCATGTTATATTTACCAAGCGATTGAAACACTGTTCCTAGGTTTCCGTAATCCACTGCTTCTCCTGCTCTGTCACCAATTTCCATTCTGATGGCCATTGCTTTCTCGTGATATTCTTGCGCCTGGGCATAATTACCAAGCGATTGAAATACTGTTCCTAGGCACCCGTAATTCGCTGCTTCTCCCTTTCTGTCACCAATTTCCATTCTGATGGCCAGTGCTTTCTTGTAATATTCTTGCGCCTTGTCATAATTACCAAGCGATTGGAACACTGTTCCTAGGTTTCCGTATACCGCTGCTTCTCCTTGTCGGAGACCAGTTTCCAGACTTATGGCAAGTGCTTTCTTGTAATATTCTTGTGCCTGATCATAATTACCATGAAATTGGAACACTGCTCCTAGGTTGTTGTAATCCGCTGCTTGTCCTACTCTGTCACCAATTTCCTGTCTGATAGCAAGTGCTTTCTTGTAATATTCTTGCGCCTGGTCATAATCACCAAGCAACCGGAGCACTGTTCCTAGGTTTCCGTAAATCTTCGCTTCTCCCTTTATGTCACCAGTTTCCAGTGTGATAGCAAGTGCTTTCTTGTAATATTCTTGTGCCTTGTCATAGTTACCAAGCGATCGGAACACTGTTCCAAGGTTTTCGTAATCGGCTGCTTCTCCTTCTCTGTCGCCAATTTCCAGTCTAATGGCAAGTGCTTTTTCGAGATATTTTCGCGCCTGGTCATAATTACCGAGCATTTGGAACACTGTTCCCAGGAATCCTTGCTCCATTCCTTCTCCCTTTCTGTCACCAATTTGTGTTCTGATGGCAAGTGCTTTCTTGATATATTCTTGTGCCTTGTCATAGTTACCACGCAATATGGACAGTCCTCCTAGTTCTCTGTAATACACTGCTTCTCCGACTCTGTCACCAATTTGCTTTCTAATCGCGCAGGCCTTCTCCAGATATTTTTTACATTTGTCATATTCTCCAAAGGAATAAAGTAATTTTGCTAAGCCTCCGTAACAAATTGCTTTTCCTCGTTCGTCGTCATTCGTTTTCATGATTTTTATTGCTCTCTCATAAAATTTTCTGGCCTCCACAAACTTCGATTGAGTGTAAAGTGTAGTTGCTAGTAATAAATTTAACCTTCCCTGTTGGACGAGAATTGAGTGGGTAATTGGTCCATCCTTATCAAGCGGCTGACTGTTTAGTAAACTCAAACATTCCTTACACAACTCTATGGCTGGTGAAAGACGACCAGTGTTTAGAAGGAAATTGGCGATCGTCGTACCTACCAAGACCACTTGCACTGCGTTTAAAACCCCTTCTATGTTGTCCATTGTTGGCTTCTTTGCTGTAAGTTTGAAAGAAGTGAAGGAAACATTATACATAAGAAGGGAAAAAAATTGCAGCGCGCAAAACGCTGCTAACGGCTTAGCTCGTCGGTAGTTCTTCTTATACGTAAATGATGAGAGGCTCTGAAGGAAATGCTTTTAAGTGAATACTCTTTGAGTTCTCATTGGCTTTTAAAGGGTAATTCTCTTTATTCTGATTGGCTGTTAAGATTACTTTGGTTTTGATTTCACACACAATTAACACTCAATTGAAAAGTGCTCTTATTACTTAACTTACCTAGTTTCTTATTAATTTTGGAAAGTAAAATTCCGGATAATTCATAACAAACATGTTTTCCTATATTTTCCAATTAACTGTTTCATTCATCACAACCAGTTGCAAAGAAAAATCATGTTATGGATATTAAAAGGAAAGTACCTAAAGTATCCGTGGATTAAAAGTATTCCAACTGTTTCCAAGTGAGACCCTCCAGACACCGTGGAAAAGGAACAGGAATCTTACAAGACGTCACGAATGAGATTTCTGGTGCGAGGCTTTCAATCTACGTAAGCAATAGGATTTGTGTAAGACACTTATTTCAAACAAGACATTCTATGAAGAATTTTGAAGTGCTTGAGATATGTCACTACAGTCAACTCCCAATGCACACTGCTTTAGTTAATCAGCTGACAAATGCAAGATTTCTTCAGAATCTCCTATTGCTGATGCCAGTATAGTAACCAAGCTGTGTGAATACTGTTCCTAGGTTTCTCTACTCCACTACTTCTTCCCATCTGTCACCAATTTTCATTCTGATACCAGAAGCTGTCCATACTTATCGTTTCAGTTTTTAATCATGGACACGTAAAATTCGCGCTCGCTGAAACATGCTAATCCAACTTTTGTTACTGTGTAATTCACTCCAGATCAACAAAGCATGACTCGCTTTCAAATTTGAAATGAAAATAATCTCTAAGAAAGTGCCAAACCATCACGGTGCGACCTTTAAAGCCAATGTGACATTCATTCGTACTTAACACTAAAAATCAACCCCTGTTCGACTTAAAATAATTTCTTACTATTGGTTTTTTCTTTCTGTGATTTCTCTGGTCATTTGTTTGTTATCATTGTCTTAGAATAAAGTTTGTAGTGGATTGGCTGATTTTGGAACTTCACTAAAAGAGGCACACAGAATTTCGGTTTTTATGTAATCACATGTCTATATATGTAAAGGCGTCATTTGCAGTCAGGAAAGATTTCCGGTTTGAATTTGCGATCATTTGCATTTCGGAAACATTTCCAAAGCTATAATTAGTCGGCCTAGGGAAACAGCTACAGTATCAGTGGTTCTCTTTGTCACGCAATCTATGAAACTAAAAAGAAAATATATTGATTGCTTGAAGCCAAGAATTTGAGATATTGTAAAATACAGAAAAATAAACAGCTCGATGAAATATTTAAACACAGTCACTGGTTCAGTACGAAAGAGTTATTCGCCATAATTTCGAACTAAAATTCTCAATGTTGGAGCCGCGACTTTTTCCCTGGCCAATGAATTACGGCAAACTTCATCCGTCCTGTTTGGACTTGGAAAGGGAGCGCTACTCACTTGCCCACTGGCACTGAATTATTCGACTGTTTAGTGGACAAAGAATTCGATTGTCATTTAATGAATATTATTATACATTCAACTCACTATCTCTTTTCTCATTGACCGAAAGCGCTCAGTGATCGCGTGAATTTTCGAAATCAGCTCCTAGGACGTCTTTTAGCCGCAGATTATACAATAATCATGTCATGGACACTCAAGGCCACCACGAAGCGACAATTTTTTCTTTTCGTTCAATGTATAATAAAACAATAATTAGATTCGGTTGTTGTGATATCCAGAATAATCAAGGTCTCTTCAAGGGTTATCAGCATTAGCCTTCGGCTTCGGCTGATAACTCCTACCTCAAACTTGATTCTTCTGAATATTATAAAAACCTCATCAAATGATCGTTCAGTAATTTCATTGAGTGAAAATATAGGTGTAATCCATGTGAGTTTGGATGTTGGGTTTGGTGACGTTACGTGATTTTAAACAGAGTATTTCATCCGTCGTCATCCTCTCAGTACTTAATTGAGATCTAATCTAGTTTTTGTCACCATTAGTTTAACGACCCGAACATCAAATATCAATTTCAGATCTTTCTTGAATTTGATCCATTTAGATTTCATCAGTTCCTATTTTCATTGTTCTCGTCAGATACCTTACACGGGCCCTTTCATTTTCCTATATTATGTCACAAATTGGCGATAAATTGGCTGGGGGGCATCCACGTGGGCCTTGAGTACCTTTACAACTCCCCTCCCCCCCCAACACATCCTAGTATATTCCAATGAAACACAGGTGCAGCCCCCTCCCCTCCCTTCCGTTAAAAAATAAGTTTTGTGACTGGTTTAAAGGTACATAGATAACAGACCACAATAGTAAGAAAAACTAAAACGTAATCTGCATCTGTAAAACGAGGTTTATTGCTTCTTTTACTTCAAATTCGTGCTCTCAACAAACAACGTCATGCACATTTTTGGTTTAGCCTTGGAAAGTGAAACTTTTCCAGTTTCTGAATAATCAAATCATCCTAACATCAATGAATAAACCTTAAACTTTCTTTGAAGGAATTCGAGAATTTTGAGAGCGGAAAAGGCTGCAAGCATTTCTTCAAATTTGTTCGCTAAATTTTCGAGTATAAAAATTAGCCTTAGCTGTGAAGAATTTTTATCATCATTCGAACGATCGCTTAGTGCAGTAATCTCAAATTCCAAATCCGTGAGAGACATATCAATTGTTAATTGTTACTTAAAGATTGTCTACCTGAAACCTCAGTAGTGACACCTGTTTGTCTCGATGTTTCATTCTCATCTAAATAAATACTTTAATGGTAACACTTAGGTAGAAATGTCGTCGGTTTAGACAACGCCCGTAAAAGCCCACTACTAGAAAATGAAAACATTCACTCATCGCACACAGATAGCTTACCTTTTACAGGAAAAAGCTTCAATTGTGCTGTGGTTGATCGCTTGATGAAAATTCAACTGCTCAAAAGGAATGAACAATGAGGCTTGTCGTTTCCTGTAAAATAAAGTGAATTGTTTTATCTTTTCATGTTCAAATCCATCATCAGTAATGAAAGAAAGACGTAGAAAACTGAAATGAATGTACTTAAGATCGAACACATAATATTCGGGCGACCCGCATCTCGTCTTTCTTTCAATGGTAGGGAAAAAAAAGGAATTAGTAACGCTCCTGTAATAGACATTCGTATTCCATTTTTCATCTTTACAGATCGAATTCTACTCAAGTTGGTCAATAGTCCAAAGTTATACAGCGATTGACTATGAAGAGGCCAGCTTTTTATATTCCATAAAAGGGTAACTCACTAAAATAATTACCCAAATTACTAGAGCTGGTTTAAAGCTATTTATCGATCGAGCCCGGTAGAATGGATTTCAAAACATCAAACCGTACGCACAGTTTGTAACTGTTCGTTGCGAACTCTTGACTTTTCATTTTCTATCGCAGATATCAGAATTTCCTTCTGCCAAGTCACAACGACATGATCGGACGCTTTAAACTCCAAAGTCTTACTTATGTAAAGGCAACAGTAGTGCATACATAGCATGGTATCAGTTGTTTTAAGACAGACAGCACTTACCATGATCAGAAGTCTTCAGTGTCTTTCTTTAAAAATAAATTTAGTTTCCTCTTTTAGTCCTGTGAGTTTTTCCCTGCATACGTCCTTCGTCACTCGCATCAGACAGCCAATGAAATGCGATCATTGGCTTCTGGCACAAAGTCATCGGAACTGCCATCTTCACAGTCATTTTCGTTCTCAGGCCAACCAGTGGCCCTTTCTTCCTCAAAGGTCTCAAAAGGAGGATACCTTTGACGGTTGACGGTTAAAACGTTCCGATCTTGACACTTGACGGTTACATTTTATGGCATTTGACGCTTGACGGCCATTAGGTAGATATCGTTTCCATTAGAATCAAGTGTACTTGTACATCACGCTCAAACAGGGAGTGAATCATTAAAATAAATCGGTAATTCAGGTTTTTAACCCAGTGTCGTGCTCTGCGCAGCTCAAGTGCACTAGAGTTAAGTATGAAAATAAACGTTTGTTATAAACTTGACAATAACTCAAGTAAAAGCCAACAATCACTGTTTCTTTGAATATTCATCCATTACATGGGGTATAACATGTAAATAAATATTGTAGAGCTCACCCTGTAAGATCATCGCCTGAAAATACACACTAATTAGCAGCTGGGACGCTAATTTCAAATGCAAGGCATGAGATCAGGGGAGCTGAATGATCAGCTTTGTAAATGAACTGTGCGTTAATTTACATAGCTGACCATCCTATTTTAATGGCCGGATAATTCTCTACGATAAGAGAGGACGTCCATGAGCAGGAGCCAATCGTTCGAAGGCCTGGGGAGGAGGATTCATCCAACACAAATTGCAAGAAATCAACATTTCGGAAAACTACACTACATATAAGCTTTGAATCTCTCGTCATATTGATGCGATCCTCTAAATAATTACATGTTAAAAGAAAGGATAATTTCAATGATGGCCGGTGGTCTTGATGAACAATGATTTTGTGTTGCACGCTAAATGCGTGTTGCCGCGCAAGTTTCTTCCTTTAGTAAGTAAGGCGTTTTGAAATTCGAAATAGTCTTTTATCTTTTCTTTTGCCGAGTCTTTTTATTGTTCAGTTTATTCGTAATCAATTCTTTTTCTTACAATTGCCAACAGTTTAGTCTTATATTGATTGATATTATTTATTTCATTTTGCTTTAAATGGAGAAATTAATTGACAATAATTGACAACAATGAATATGAAAAAAATGGCGAGGAAACGTAATACTAACCTTAAAGGTCGGTGAGGTTGGGTTCTCTTACTTGGAAAAAAAAACAAGATGAATAAAGTTAGAAGCATGTGGACTTCCTTTGCAGTAAAATAAAGCAATTTGGAAGAAACAGAACTAAAAAAGTTAGTTCGACATTGAAGTGAATGACAGAAAAACTTTAATGGGGCCATCTCAGCGTGAACAGGAAGGGGTCCTGACCTTTAAGTGTTGAATCAAAGTTTTATTTTTCATATTTGGACGAGAATCTTGCGTTTTAAGAATTAACTACTTGGATGATTGGAAGTACTTACGTAGTTATGATAAGAGAGAGTCTTATTACTGTTTCGCACCGTCTGCCTTTTATTATATGCACGTTCGTCCTGTGATTTTAATGTAGAATAATAATACAAAATATGTTTTTATCTATTTTGTGTTCCGGGACGAAAAACTTGTGGATGTAGCTTATATTCCAACATCGCTAAATCTTAAACTGTAACATCAAATCCGAAATAAGTCGTGAAATATGATTATTTTGATATGTGGTTATATCTATAAAGCCTTTTCAAAATCTTAGACTCGCTCAGGGTAGACTTTCATTCCAAATGTGATAGGATCATACCCTAAGAGTTGACTAAACATAGAAGTGGTTAAGATGAAGAAGCCTTTTAA